GCTTGGAGCAGGATGGATATGTCGTTCCTGCAGTTCTCCCTTCCGAAGTCCGACACGCCATCTCGTCGGTAAAGAATCGTACGGCACCCGGTCCCGACAGGATCAGACCCGAACATCTGAAGAATCTTCCGCCAGTTCTTGTCAAAAGACTGTGTTGCTGTACAAGAAGGGAGACCTGTACGACATTGGCAATTATCGCCCAATCTGCCTGCTGTCTGTAGTCTACAAACTCTTCACACGAGTCATCCTGAACAGGATTGGCAGAACACTAGACGAAGGACAGCCATGCGAGCAAGCAGGGTTTCGAAGAGGATTCAGCACGATCGATCACATCCACACGGTAACGAAGCTCATCGAAGTATCGCGAGAGTACAAGATGCCGCTATGTCTCACGTTCATCGACTTGAAGAAAGCCTTCGACTCCGTTGAGAAGCGGTTATCGAAGCCCTGGGCAACCAGGGTATTCCTACTCAGTACATCAGGATTCTTCGTGAGCTCTAGCAACTTCACGACCAAGATCTCACCATTCTACAAGGAGATCATCATCGACGTGAAGAGAGGGGTCCGACAGGGCGACACCATCTCGCCCAAGCTCTTCAGCGCCTCTCTCGAGAACGTCATGCGTCAACTGGAATGGGAAGACATGGGAGTGAAGATCGACGGTCGGCAACTACACCATCTCCGCTTTGCTGACGACATCGTTTTTATTAGGTTGACCGGAAAGTTTCCCGCCACGTGTTTGATCGCACCATATTAGCCTTGCATGTATGTTTATGACTTATCGTGGGGTGTGCATGAAGCACGCAAGAGACTCTTTCACATCACTACCTCACACTCACCCAGCTTGCATTTGGATTCCAAAATGCCGCCCAAGTTTCAACCCGACAGGATGCACCTGAGGCACTGTCTTCTTTTCCTTCATCAGTCTGGCTTAAACGCAAAGGAAGCCCAAGCCAAGATAGTGGATACATATGGCGCTGACGCTATCTCTTACGACACGTGCAAGACCTGGATGGCCAAGTTCAAGAAAGGAGATTTTTCTCTCCAAGATGCTCCAAGGTCCGGCCGGCCGATGGAGTTAGACTTGAAGTTGCTGCAATCCACCGTGGAAGAGGATCCGTACGCCACTACCAGGGAACTTGCAGCGATGCTCGGCCATGCCCAATCAACTGTTGAATCTGGGCTGGAGAAGATTGGTAAAGTCGCAAAGCTTGGCCGTTGGATTCCTCACCAATTCAATGGCGGGAAACTTTCCGGTCAACCTAATTTATAACACCGAACATCGAGCAAGCGGAACGAATGCTGGCTTAATTCGACTGCGCGTGTGGAAAAATCGGTCTACGGCTGAATCTGACGAAGACGATGTTCATGAGAAACGGATTGGTTTCTGATGCCCCATTCACACTCAAGCGAACACCACGTCTCTGAATGCTCTAGCTGGATGAATACTGAGGCTAGTGAAACAATATATGATGAACGACTTAGCACCAGAGCTGAGCAGGAGGAAGCGAGCGGCTTGGGGAGCCTTCAAGAACATCGAGGGAGTAGCGAAGAAGACGAAGAACACCAAGCTCCGTGCCCACCTCTTCGATTCCGCGGTCCTTCCTGCCTTGACGTACGCCTCAGAGACTTGGACTCTACGAAAGCAGGATGAGCATGCGGTCGGCGTTATTCAACGCGCCATCGAAAGGGCGATGCTCGGAGTTTCCCGCTACAGTGAGAGAGGGAATCCGGAGCTCCGCACTCCGCCAACGATCGAAGATCAGAGACGCCGCCGCATTTGCCAAGGTTTCGAAGATCAGTGTGGCCGGACACGTTATGCATTTCGAGGATGACCGCTGGACCAGAGCGATCACCGACTGGATTCCACGGGATGTCAAGCGAACGCCTGGACGACCGCTTATGCGATGGTCAGACTTCTTCTGAAAGTTCTGAACGAATGGTATGAAGTTCATCGTGTCCCTCGAGCAGAGAGAACTCATTGGACAACTCTTGCACGTTACAGGGACGAATGGAGACGTTAATGGCGCCCGCTCGAGGAACTCGATGATAAACGAAGCACAGATGATACAGGTGATTAGAATTCATAAAGAGCTAGATGAAAAAGCTTCGACCATGCACTTTCCTCAAGCTATTGGACCGCCTTCGTAGACGACGACTTCGAAGAGATGGCGAATCTATGGGAATGGATGAAATGCAGAAACTGCAAAAATACCGAAATCGACGACCAGATAGAACTAACGCTCAGCAGTACCTTCTTTAATGCCCAGCGAGAAATGACGGTTCCGCGGGATGTGCAGACCCTACGGTTCGGGATGGAAGTCAAAGGCGTAGTGACTCCCAGAGCAGATGGCCGCTTTGAGCTTTGGTAACTGATGGCCAGCTGACGCTAGTCGGTAAGGCTGGATCCTATCTGCTCTGCGCCAACTCCTTCTGGAAGGGTCCTTGATGAAGGAATGATCTGTAAAATAACAATTTCAGTCTATCGCAATCAGAGGGATCCGGAGATATGGGGACCAAGGGTTTACCTGCATGTGTAACTCGAGTCCTCTTTGACTTCTTGTTTACCCTCTACGGTTAGGGTTCGGCCATTAATGTTCACTTTGAGTTCATCTGGTCCGAATTTCGAAACCATTTAGAGCGAATGCTTAAAACTTCGACCGTCATTGGAACCGTAGTACGATTTCTTGAGAATGATGGAATATGGTAAAAGAGGCAGAGTGCCCATGAAACTATGAAGTACCTATCCCATTTGACCCATAACGGCTTTCTTTTCCTTCTTCCCCCTTGCTGGGGAAGAAGCAGGTGGTCTCACCAAGAGGAACCTGGCTGAGCGGCTTGCCGCGTCGTTCAAATTCGCTGAAGACCTTGTGCACCTGGTAGACGAGCGTTGCGAAGAACGTAGATAGCCATCGTTCAAGCTCAGAAAAGTCAGACTCGAATGACTGCAGTCACCATCCACGCAGGCCACTTATATTGGTTTCGAAGAGATTACTCCGAAATTTGGCGAACCTTCCTGCCCCACCCCTCGTGCTCTCGCCTCTGTCGGAAATGGAGGGCAAGCACGGAGTGTACGGAGATAGCGAAACGTTTTGTAAGCTCTAACGGGGCTATATAAGCAGCTTCTTGTGCTGCCACTATCAGGTTTTGATTAGGTCCACGTGTACCGGTAGCGCTTGCATCTTTCCCGCTACAGTTCGCCGATTTCATGTGGAATAACACCATTCTGACATTTCTTCCTCTGCCTTTTCTATCAATTGTTTCTTATTAGCAATCCCACAAACTACAAACTGAAACACTCTACTACCCGACAGAAAATTCAACGCTTGAGAGAGACCAGAGCCTGTCTATAAACATTACCCGAATTATATCATTTATTGGTAACGTATCACGATTATCCACCATCCTTCTTCCAACTTATTTTCATTGTTCTTGCCCGCCAAGATATCGCCAAAACCTAGACTTTTTGGTTTCTATTTGAGCCTAATTTTTCGCTCCTGGATTATTAGGTTCCGAAATCTTTATCAATGGCTTTTTGACGGGTCCAACTTTCACAGGTTTCGGGGATGACCTGAGGATCTCATGAACCGGGGTTCTTAGGTCAAGCGTGGCTCTGACGTGATTCGCTTAAAGACACATAGTACGCTCATACACATTGAGGGTGTATGAGACTATCAGCCCCCCAGATGTCGATGTGTCGTGGTCCCCCCGCCCAAACATGCCCAGGAATGGAGATACAGGGCCGTGAAACACGCTAATTCTTCCATGCTCCGCCCACTGCCTTTTTACGGCGCAGATTCCCGCCGTTCATAACATCCGTTGCAAGCGCGCCTGTCGCGTGCGGCTCCTTGGCACTTTGCCAAGTCCTTTAATTGCGCTCTAAATACAAGGAAAACGCAATTTCCTGATGCGGATAACATTGGAGGTGCTACAAAATAAGAGCAGAAGATGATGACGAGGGTCAGAACCTAAAAGCGACTGTGCCACTTCTGCAACATCCCTCGGAGGCCACGTATTTCCACGAAACATGAAAATAAAACTAAAAACGGCATACTCGTTAGTTTAATACAAGCAAAACGCAATTTCCTGATGCGAATAAAATTTAAGGTGTTGCTCATGCTTCAAAATCCATGTACAAGGAGATGAAGATGACACAGGCTAGAAATGAAGCACAACGATGTAAATGTAAACAAAACAAAAATGAAAAAATCAAGGAAAGGCAAATTAGATAAACTGGCCTGTAAATTTCTACGATCCGGCGCCAAAGCCATAGAAATACTTAGAACAAACGAGTGGGACGCTTGGGCTGTTTTTATTTTCATGTTTTGTGGGAATGCGCGGCCCTTGATGGATACTGCAGATGCAGCCGAGTTGCTCTTGAGTTGTTCTGACCCCTCGTTCATCATCTTCTGCTCTTATTTTGTAGCACCTCCAATGTTATCCGCATCAGGAAATTGCGTTTTACTTGTATTTGAGAGCGCAATTAAAGGACTTGGCAAAGTGCCAAGGAGCCGCACGCGACAGGCGCGCTTGCAACGGATGTTATGAACGGCGGGAATCTGCGCCGTAAAAAGGCAGTGGGCGGAGCATGGAAGAATTAGCGTGTTTCACGGCCCTGTATCTCCATTCCCGGGCATGTTTGGGCGGGGGGACCACGACACATCGACATCTGGGGGGCTGATAGTCTCATACACCCTCAATGTGTATGAGCGTACTATGTGTCTTTAATTACGTCAACACCGAAATCGCCCTTCATCCACTGTGAAGCTCTTTCCCACCACTTTTGAGGCCAAATTTCCCATTTCCTTTTAGCATTGCCAGCTTCACACAAGGAGTTGAATTGTCCTCCCTGACGACCTATATCACTCCCATGCTGCAGATGTCGATATCTAAGGAGAGTTTCATTCTCTGAATACAAATATTGAAGTGAAAAGCCTGTAGGTTGGCCTGTACGGCCACTGCACGGCCACAACAGACGTGCCAGCATGTTCTTTCGCCAAACTGGGTGAGATGGTATTCGTGTTTGGGATCAAAGTGCAGCGGCAAGTAGTTGAGCTGGGCGGGGAGAAATGGTTATGAGGATTTGGTCAACTGTGCTTTTTTGGGCTAACAATGAGTCTAAGAGGAACGGGGTTACCAGCGTGATGAGAAGGCGGCGAATAGTCAAACGCTAGAGTCACCTATTGCCACTTTGTTTCATCTTTCATGTTTTCCCCCTTCTTACTCCCGATCTTCCTGTTTTCGTTGCAGAGGTTCAGAGAAGCGTAACCAGAAAATTTTCTTCAACTCGTGCAGTTAAAAAATAATAGGTTTGCTTCGTTACGCATTTAGCAGCGCCAGCGTCAAGCTTCTCAAAGCCTACCCGGAAGCGAACTCCTGGTCTTCCCCCGAATCTGCCGGACCTCTTTTGAGAAGAACTTGAGATTAAATCTCGAGATATGATAGGTCTAACCTTTTGGGGCGATGCCACCTCTGCTGCCAGCGGCGTTGCGGCCTGTCTGCTTTGCGTCACCTATAAGGGTCGTTAAGGCTGTAGAGCTCACGAAGAATCTTGATGTACTGAGTAGGAATACCCTGGTTGCCCAGGGTTTTGATAACCGCTTCTGTCTCAAGTGCCGAATATCTAAAAAACTTCAGAAAACGGGACTGGTAAATGTTCGAATTCCCTTTTCTTCAGGATTTCGATGAATCCGTGTCTACGCATCTATGTTTCCATTGTTGTATTCCGTGATTTGAACCCTATCGCGTCACTCGTTCACCAGTCGCTCGGCTACACATTTGGATTGGAGCCAATTGATTAATGGAGTGTTCCAGTGAACCTTCAATCGATAAATCAATAATGCGTTCGTGGTCAGTGGATCGCTTTATGGACCGTGTTTTCTGGCCAAGGGATCGTTTGATGGACCGTGATTTCTGGCCAAGGGATCGTTTCATGGACCATATGATATACGATACTAGGAGGGATATGGATCATTTTGAGCGAAGCATCTTCTCATATTGGAGAGAAGCTGACCATTCCATGCTTCACGTAGCAAAAGAAACCTATCAGGTATGTCATTCTATACAGGACGTTTATGGGTCCTTTTTCTGGATATGCCCTTGTAACCCTTGGCCAGCTACAAATGCAAAATCGATAGTAATTGCAGCTTGTGAATGACGAGAAGAAGTTCGCCGTTTCATTGGATGTATCACAGTTTCGTCCAGAGGAGTTGGATGTGCGCTTGGAGGGGCGTGAGTTGACCATCGAAGGCAACGCCATGCATAGGTAAGTCCTGCCTTCTAATTCATTGGGCAGATGTGCATCAGATAGATATTGATCGTTTTGCTTGTTCCAGGTCATTCACCCGTAAGTGGTTGCTGCCTGAGAATGTCTACCTGGAGGCTATTCGAACTCAGCTTGATGACAAGGGTCATTTATCCGTGGAGGTGCTAAAGCGTATCGAAGGGCCAAAGCGTATCTATGGTCAAGCGCTGAAAAGGTCTATCCCTATAATGGCCTCCCTTACCTAGTAATCTTAGTACGGTTCATAGAACCTAGATATTTTCCACGGTTACTGCTCAGGTGGTTAGTTTCGCTGGTAGAAATAATTTGTGGGTACTGCATGCTATTTTTCCATTATTTCGTTTTTCGCTTTAGTTCTGTACATAAAGTATGTGTATGCAGTGTATATTTGAATAGTCAGTGTTTATTTTATGTTCACTATTTCATGTGCAATAAATGGAATTAAATTTGTAATTAATTCGTTTGTTCCGATATGTTCTGGGTAAACCAAGACATTGAGAAGAGGAATATGTCTGTCAGTTCAAGAGCGTCTACGCATACAGGGGGGGGGGCCAAAAAAGTCAGCTTGACCGATTCACATATCAGCAAAGTTTTCGCACCCAAGACAGAGGACGTGGCTACGAGCACCAGGGCTGAAGATATCCAAGATGTTCCTCGATAAGCAGTAGCTGGCTCTCACCCATCAGCTTCATGTACACTAAAATATGACGTCATCTCCAGTCGCAGCCTGACAGAAGACCTTTGGAATTCATGTCACCTCTAGACAGCTGCGAAACTTCTAGCTGTGAGTCCAACCATAATGGATGGCTACCGTAGAGACCAGTACTTCTCGCATGGAGTGACCTCCATCATCGAGGCAGCTCCGACAACGTCGCTACGGAGTAGGGAGATCATTTCACCGCCAGTAGCCAAAGGCGCCGGGGTTGATGGCTAGACCGGATCGTACTAGAATTGGAAAGACCAATATTTTTTCGGGGCCCCGGACTGCAGGTCGAGCGCTGGCTGGTTACATTGCAGAAACTCGAAGGAGATATATCCTCATAACATGTCGTCGCTCGTACCTTCTTGGAAACTTTGTACTCCTATTGGGTGACATCACATGGAATCGGAGGGCGTTGGAAAAACTCCCGCCTACTTGGAATGGAAGGGCGCTGAGAACCTGGTGAAGATAAAATATGAGGTTGTGGCAAAAATAGTGACCATTTTCGCACCTGCTATTTTCCACTGAAATTCATTACATGCAAAAACTTAGACACAAATATAGTAATTTAATATATCGTCCGGAAGCGGATTTTTCAAGCTATCGTACGAATTTTTTTCCCATTTCTCTGCCACCATTTCTTCTACGATTT